AAGCCATGAAAATCTTGAAGAAACTGGGCATTACACTGCTTCCAGACTCCGTTCATACACTTAGCTGTGACTACCATGCTTTTGCTATGTTTTTGATACACTGATAAATATTATACTTCTTCCAAAAATCTCTTAGAGTTAGTTCTGGGTCTGAATCAATGACCTGGATAGCTTGATCAAAAGGTATGTGCAGATAGTGTGCTTGAAATGTTCAAATAACCCCCTGATCCATGGGTTGTGTGAGTGGGGTGGTGTTGGGAGGCATAAACACCACTCGTACATCAGGGTCTAGATCGTCCAAGTGAGGAGGGTGGGAAGGTGCATTGTCTAAAACTAAAAGAATTTTGAAAGGTACTCCTTTTTCCTGGCAATACTGGCGTGCAGCTGGGATGAAACAGTTTAAAAACCAATCCTCAAATAAGGCCAATGTCATCCATGCCTTACGATTGTATCAATAGTGCACAGGGAGCGTATGTTTGTTTACATTTTTGAGAGCACGGGGGTTCTCGGCCATGTAAATTAAGAAGGGTTTTAATTTGAAACCAGCAATATTTCCCCCAAGCAGCAGTGAAACCCTTTGCTTCATAACCTTATGCCTTGGTACACACTTCACTTCCTTAGATACATATGTTCCATTAGCCATTTTTTTCCAGTACAGGCCAGTTTCATCAACATTAAATATTTGTTCTGGTAAATACCCTTCTTCTTTTATTAGATTATCCAACTGAGCAACAAAGTTTTATGCACCTTCTTCGTCACAAGCAGCTGCTTCACCTTTCGCTACCACATAATGAATTTGGTAACGCTGACGAAATCTCCTAAACCACCCATCACTTGCAATAAATTCTTGATTATACCCCTCACCAGCACGTTGTTTCAACATGTTAAACAAACTTTTTGCTTTTCTTTGTACTTCAGAAAGCATCACATTCACTTTTTTCTGCCGATAATCTTCTAACCAAACATGACTTTGTTTCCTAAACCCAATGCCTGTACCACTTTTACTTTTAGATAATTGTTTGCCATGTTTTCATACAGGCCAAAATTTCAAAAAATTTTTTGTTTGGAATACCCTTTTCTCCTTAAGTATTGTCCCCACAACAAAATGACTTGTCAGAGGTTTAACTTTCCCCACAAATGTTTGATGCTTTTTCCATCCCATACTGCAATAATTCTTTTATCTTCCCCCCGGTTTTAACAGTTAAACCTTTCTTGCTTCTTGCCAGAAAGCATCCATTCACATTGATTCCTAACTTCCTCTAGGAGCCATCTCGGCAATTGGCCTTCCAGTTTAGTTTGTGAAATGTATGATGCTAGATAGGGCGAGAGCTCAAAGTGCTTGATGGCTGCCTTAGCATTTGCCGGGAGTAAGGGAAATCCCGTAATGTGTATGATGCTTTTCCACCTCAACTGCTAATTACGTTATCCTGGAAAGTCCCGCTCGCAAGTCTGCGCAAGTCAACCTCGGAGCCCGGTGAAATTCGTCCCTTAGACTAAATTTCATATACGAGGGCAGTATCTCACAATACCCCGCTGGTGACCATACGGAAATACTACAGTTAGAAAGGCCCAGCCTCAGCTGCCAGATATGTGAAAGGAGAATCTAGGTCAGGTTTTAATCAGGATTAAACACCCACAATAAGGTCACTATCACAACAGATACCCATTTACTGATGTATACAAAGGACTTTATGCAGATTTAAAAAACATGCCAAGGATAACACCACTGTGCGAAACCCGAATTTTTATTACCAAAAAACATATAAAAGAACAATCCAATTGCCAGGAACTAAAAATAAAAAGCCACGTTGACTTTTTTGGGTTATCCTAGGTTCTCTACACATATGCTGCTGTGTGTGATAATCTATAGAGAGAAAATAACTTTTTTGTTTCATGTTTATGGTGGAGTACGAGTGTACGTATATCACAGTTACCCCTGTGCTATACTCTGTTTTCTCTAATATAAGCCACCAAGACAGGGATAGGAGAATGGTATTTGTTTACCATATCCTCTTCACAACTCTGTCGAACTGCTCGGTGTTATGCCAAATATTATTCATTCTGGAGTATTTAACGGTTTTATGTTATTTAAATTGTTTCTTATGTCATATTAGATCATTTGTGATAGGCAAATAAGCTGTAGTGTTGATATTAGCGTAATAATAAAGCATATTCTCCTGCTTCATGAGACTGAGCTCATGGCAACTTACAGTGGCTTCAAAGCCACCTTATCTTTAATGTTTAATGTACTGTGTAGGTGCTTTACATAATGAGAAGCATTTCTTTTATTCATTGGAACCATGGCTAGGGCTGAAAGTAAGCAGGTTAAAACAATAAACGGAGAAAAAGAAATTGGAATGACTTACGCAGCAAGTAGCGCCACCAAACAGTACCAGCAGGTTGGTGTGGCGACCCTGGAAATTTGAAATTATGCTTGCCAAAATTAGTGCCGAATAACTGAAGGAACCGAATAACTGATTGCCGGATTTGTGATGGCAGACCTGTAGTAGTACTGGTTGACCATCACTAATCTGGCATTATTGGGACCTGTAGTGTCAGATTAGTGAGTTTGCCGGATTACAGAGTGGTTAGGTTAGAATACACTTAACCTATCAGCAGAGAGACTTTCTACTACATCTTCCTCATTTTCATCACTGCTTTCTCCTCCACTGGCTTGCTGCTGTGGATTTACAACCATCTGCACAATTTCTGAGTCAGTATAATGATGAAATTTGAAATTATGCTAACCAAATTAGTGCTGGATTACTGATGGAACTGGATAACTGATTGCTGGATTAGTGATGACTGACCTGTATTCCTTGTCTGATAATAAAGTGCTAAACCTGTAAGGGTCATACAGCGCTGCAAGGAGGGATGTGCAAAAGGAAGACTGCGAAGGTAGTGAATGAGGGATTAGGGGATGCCTTTTGTGTTTTGATGCCTCTGTAATGGCTACTGTATCTTTCACAAAGAATAGAGTAGGTCCCTAACTTATGAATAGGTTGCTTTCTTAGTTTTTCAACTAGCTAACAAGTCATTAGTAACCCTGAACCTAATTTTTTCCATTGTTAATACTAGCCATCTCCCACCGAGGTAAGGAAGCCCAGAATAATAGGAGATACACTGTCACTTTTTCAATCACTGTCTTGCCAGAAATATGCTGACATCACAATTGAGATCACCCTCCCAACACCTCCTTTAGAGAGAAGACACCTTCCCACCTCCAGGACTCAAGACCATCTTACTGGTTTCCCTGAATCTCTTCATAAATGTTGCCTTACATGCATTCCAACAGTACATTAAGTCATGGAATCCACTTGCCTCCACTCACTCCAATATAAGCACTCACAGAATCCTGTTGGATGTTCATGTCTTTAGCACTAAAAGCCACCTTTAATTCTGTTGTAATTTGCATATTTAATATTTGTATATTATGTTACTAGCCAATTTTAAGATGCTTGCATTGTACAACTGATAGTGGAGTGCACATTTTAATTCTCTCCATGGTTTTTTAACGTTTTTTCTTTCAGTCATCATTTTCACATTTACTGCTGGTACCTGTAGTAACCTCAGGTTAATTTTAAAGGATTTTTCTATTATTGTTGGTACAGTAAAATTTTGATGCATTTTTTTTTACTGATGCAGAATATTTTTACCCTATGTTATTTATTTATTGTTTTATCAGGTGTTATTTTGTATGAGTGTTTTGTAGATTAGGAGGATAGTTTTAAGTTGTATGTGATAGTCTAGTTTTTCACAGCTCTTAAGATGATGCTGATCTGGTTTCAAGGAGTGATGCATTTGTTAATTCTCACTCAGCATCTCTCCCTTATTTAAAACTTACGTTCTAAGCACTAACTTAAAGTATGACTTTATCTGGCAGTTTCTTGCAGTCCCTTCAGTTGCACAGATAGTGGGTTGTGTAGGCTTGAGGCTAGCCTTCACATAGTATAGCACATCACCAGAGATAAGATGGCAAAAAGTCTAGTTTCTTGCCATTTTTCATTGTTTAAATTAAGGGTTGTTATAAAGTGAACAGTCTTTCTTGATTACCTTACCAGCAGAATCAGTAGATATCTAACAGTTACTTTTAATAAGTAAAGTACCATATCAGTAAGATTAATTTTAAAATATTCTGTTTATTCATGTTTACTCCAGTGTATTAAAATTGCTTTATGTTTGTCTTCCCATAAACTGTGCAAACTTTTATCTTTATCTTTCATTATTTTTTGTCAAGGCTCCCATACACTGTCATAACCTTCCATAATTGCATTATGATAATGCATAATTATTGGAATAAATACATACAGCAAGCATGCGTGAGCATGTTAGATAGGAGTGAATGGAGACGAATGGTTTTTTGGGACATGACGAGGTGTTGGAGTGTGAGCAGGGTAATATTTTGTGAATAGATTCAAAAACAAAACAAAAAAAAGTTCATTTCTTTGCAAAGGTTTCAATGTGGGTTTATATTTCATAATTTGATTGGTACAAAGAAAGCCACTATCATGCTGAGGCATTTTGGGCAAACTGATTAGCCGAACTTGAGTCTTGAAGGTGGGAAGTACTATGCCTGCACTCTAAAGGAGGGGTTTGGGATACTGGCTGTTTGGATTGACATCCAAACTGTTGTATCTGAGTGCCTCTGCAAAGATAATGATTATGTATGATTGATGGTGAAAGTGTTGAATGATGATGAATTTTTTTTTTCTTTTTGGGTTTTTCTTTCTGTTTGGGTTACCCTACCTCGGTGGGAAATGGCTGACATGTTAAAAAAAAAAAATATGCACAGGTGTATAGGGTGAAATTTGAAGAAGAAAATTATGTAGCATGTTATATTCAGTCAGAATACCACAGATTTATTAAAAGTTAGTAATTAGTGACGACTGATAAAATAGTGTATCCCACCCTGCCTTGGTGGGATACGGCCATTTTGTTAAAAAAAAAAAAAAAATTCCTGTGGGCTAGAAATATATATTACTTATTTTGTTTTCTTTTAGGTTAAGACGTACACGTTTAATCAGTCAAGGTATCCACGCATCAACAAGGAATCTTTAATGCCGATTGCAAAGACTACTGGTTCAGATGCTGATCTTGAAGCGTAAGTACAGTATGTACATTTTACCATTTTTTTTTTATTATAGACTGTCTCCCTAGCAAGGGTAAGTTGATACTTAGTCCAGGGACAAGAACAGTATTTGAGTAAGCCCATTCTTTGGTATGGAGTTGCTATCACAGACCTAGTGCGATGGCAAGTTACATATCCCTTTCATTATCTTGAATTTGATTTGAAGAGTGATGTTGCATCTTCATAAGTGGTAAGATGTAGATAATATACTAGTTTACTTGTAACCTTTTCATTATAAGTTGTTAGATGTACTTACTTACATTTAGTATTACACTTAGGGTACTGTTTTACTAAATTGTAAAATAGGCTGTATATATAGTGGCTTTTTTTTCTTTAACTCTTGCTTCATAAATTATATAGTGCTTATCATTATTAATAAAGTTTAACATGAGTTTCACATTATTAAATCAGTTATAGTAGTATAGTAGCTAGCCACAAGAAATTGCAATCTCAGGGGTTGTGCCCTTGAACTTGCATCAAAGCCACACCGATCCAGCTCTAACTTACCTGTAATAATGGGATCTCAGTTCTGCCTGAAAGTTAAGAAAAATCTGCAGGTATTTTAACAGAGTAAAGGAATGACTATATTTGCAGGCATGTTCCATGGTCTCTTACAACTTATAACTATAGTGAGCAGCCATACCAAGACAACTCTTACACCTGTTATAACTCTAGGGTCACACTACCAAAAACTACTAACTACAGTATATACATCTTCCTGGAAATCCTTCATCAGTGAAAGATGCTCGATTTCATTTGGTTAAAATAAAATATTGTTCTTGATCACCTCATTTCTTCTGCTCCTATGTTTCTCGTAGATGGTCTATCTCAAAGTACAGTCACTCATGTTTTGGTACTAGCCAAATGGTAATAAAAGAGGACTAAACTTTGACAGTCGTGAATGTGTTGCCACATGGCTTGCTCCTATACCCTGCTCGCTTGCTGATAATCGGTTAAGTAAGTTTATTTAGGTACAGGTACACATAAGTACAATTATCATACAAAGTTTATCGTCTGTAAATTACCTAGGATAATGAAAAAGTCAGTGACTTATTTCCATTAGGGTCTTGTATTTCCACTGAGGTTGAGCAGTTGTGATCAAAGTTGGAGTATAATGTTGCTTCAAATAATACACTATCTCCAGCTGTAAGAGAAATACAGTGGAACCTCTACTTGCGAGCGTGTCCACGTGTGAGTTTTTCCAAATACGAACAGTCGATGGGTTGATTTTTTGCTTCCATACGCGAGCAAAATTTCCATAAGCGAGCAGACCTCAAGGCAGGTTCCTCGACAATGGTGAGGGGCTTTTGCTCTTGATCTCGGGAATTATATCTCATTTGTTTGTTGGACTATCTTATTGAAACTTGGGCAATGTATGATGGAAAGATGCTTCTTAACATACACCAAAAATGAAAGAAATCTAAGCATAAATAATGGGGTTCACTTCTCAGTAATTAGCCACCCCTTAGCGGTAATTTCGAATGGTTTTTATGGTTGTATTCTCGTTTTTTTGGTCTCATTTGATAGAATGGAAGATATGTTACAGAAGTAGATATGATTTTGATTGCTTTCACGATGAAAAGTGCCTTGAAATTGAGCTCAGTGTAGGAGAAATAGTCCATTGCTTGGCTGTTTCAGAGTAAACTGTCCATTCCAAAATGCAGTCGTGAATGGGTTGACATTATTTATACAATTATTGCAATAAGGAATAACAGTAAATCTTATATTTTATGTGTGAATAAAAATTGCAAATTATTTATATAATAATAATAATAATTAATAATAATAATATGTATAATAATAATATGTATAATAATAATATGTATAATAATAATATGTATAATAATAATATGTATAATAATAATATGTATAATAATAATATGTATAATAATAATACGTATAATAATAATAGTGTAATAATATAATACAATAATAATAATATGTATAATAATAATACATATATAATAATAATGTACTACATATAATAATTATAATAGATAGCTTCAAAAGGCCATCACTAGATGGCAGTGTTTACCACAACAAAGAGGGAGCAGTTGTGGCCGCCTCCACCTGTTACATAATGACATATTTTATTCATTCTAGAGTATATATCATGTTTCAATGTTATTTATATTGTTTGTTATTCATATTAGATGAACTGTGACAGATAAATAAGCCATATAGATGATATTAGTGAAATTATTCATGAAGTACAGTGGACCCCCGGTTAATGATATTTTTTCATTCCAGAAGTATGTTCAGGTGCCAGTACTGACCGAATTTGTTCCCATAAGGAATATTGTGAAGTAGATTAGTCCATTTCAGACCCCCAAACATACATGTACAAACGCACTTACATAAATACACTTACATAATTGGTCGCATTGGGAGGTGATCGTTAAGCAGGGGTCCACTGTATTTTGCCGGGTCTTCAGACAAACTCTCATTCACCACCGACACTGCCCATACCACTACATGGATGACATATTTTATTCATTTTAGAGTATATATCAGGTTTCTCCAAACTGCCAATATCCCAAACCCCTCCTTTAAAGTGCAGGCATTGTACTTCCCATTTCCAGGACTCAAGTCCGACTATATGAAAATAACCGGTTTCCCTGAATCCCTTCACTAAATATTACCCTGCTCACACTCCAACAGATCGTCAGGTCCCAAGTACCATTCGTCTCCATTCACTCCTATCTAACACGCTCACGCACGCTTGCTGGAAGTCCAAGCCCCTTACCCACAAAACCTCCTTTACCCCCTCTCTCCAACCCTTTCGAGGCGACCCCTACCCCGCCTTCCTTCCCCTATAGATTTATATGCTTTCCATATTCATTCTACTGTGATCCATTCTCTCTAAATGACCAAACCACCTCAACAACCCCTCTTCTGCCCTCTGACTAATACTTTTATTAACTCCACACCTTCTCCTAATTTCCACACTCCGAATTTTCTGCATAATATTTACACCACACATTGCCCTTAAACAGGACATCTCCGTTGCCTCCAACCGTCTCCTCGCTGCTGCATTTACCACCCAAGCTTCACACCCATATAAGAGGTTGGTACTACTATACTTCATACATTCCCTTTTTGCCTCCAAGAATAACGTTTTTTGACTCCACATATACCTCAACGCACCACTCACCTTTTTTCCCTCATCAATTCTATGATTAACCTCATCTTCATAAATCCATCCGCCGACACGTCAACTCCCAATATCTGAAACATTCACTTCTTCCATACTCCTCCTCCCCAATTTGATATCCAATTTTTCTTTATCTAATCATTTGACTACCCTCATCACCTTACTCTTTTCTATGTTTCACTTTCAACTTTCTACCTTTACACACATTCCCAAACTCATCCACTAACCTTTGCAATTTTTCTTAGAATCTCCCATAAGCACAGTATCATCAGCAAAAAGTAACTGTGTCAATTCCCATTTTGAATTTGATTCCATAATTTTAATCCACCCCTCTCCAAACACCCTAGCATTTACTTCCTTTACAACCCCATCTATAAATATATTAAACAACCATGGTGACATACACATCCCTGTCTAAGACCTACTTTTACCGGGAAGTATCTCCCTCTCTTCTACAACCCTAACCTGAGCCTCACTATCCTCATAAAAACTCTTACAGCATTTAATAACTTACCACCTATTCCATATACTTGCAACATCTGCCACATTGCTCCTCTATCCACTCTATCATATGCCTTTTCTAAATCCATAAATGCAATAAAAACTTCCCTATCTTTATCTAAATACTGTTCACATATATGCTTCAATGTAAACACCTGATCTACACATCCCCTACCCACTCTAAAACCTCCTTGCTCATCCGCAATCCTACATTCTGTCTTACCTCTAATTCTTTCAATTATAACCCTACCGTACATTTTTCCTGGTATACTCAGTAAGCTTATTCCTCTATAATTTTTACAGTCTCTTTTGTCCCCTTTCCCTTTATATAAAGGGACTATACATGCTCTCTGCCAATCCCTAGGTACCTTCCCCTCTTTCATACATTTATTAAACAAAAGTACCAACCACTCCAACACTATATCCCCCCTGCTTTTAACATTTCTGTCATGATCCATCAGTTCCAGCTGCTTTACCCCCTTTCATTTTACGTAATGCCTCACGTACCTCCCCCACACTTACATTCTGCTCTTCTTCACTCCTAAAAGATGGTATACCTCCCTGACCAGTGCATGAAATTACTGCCTCTGTTTCTTCCTTAACATTTAAAAGTTCCTCAAAATATTCTCGCCATCTACCCAATACCCCCATCTCCCCATCTACTAACTCCCCTACTCTGTTTTTAACTGACAAATCCATATTTTCCCTAGGCTTTCTTAACTTGTTAACTCACTCCAAAATTTTTTCTTATTTTCATTAAAATTTCTTGACAGTGCCTCTCCCACTCTATCATCTGCTCTCCTTTTGCACTCTCTCACCACTCTCTTTACCTTTCTTTTACTCTCCATATACTCTGCTCTTCTTATAACACTTCTGCTTTGTAAAAACCTCTCATAAGCTACCTTTTTCTCTTTTATCACACCCTTTACTTCATCATTCCACCAATCACTCCTCTTTCCTCCTGCCCCCACCCTCCTATAACCACAAACTTCTGCCCCACATTCTAATACTGCATTTTTAAAACTATTCCAACCCTCTTCAACCCCCCCACTACTCATCTTTGCACTAGCCCACCTTTCTGCCAATAGTCGCTTATATCTCACCCGAACTTCCTCCTCCCTTAGTTTATACACTTTCACTTCCTCTTATTTGTTGTTGCCACCTTCCTCTTTTCCCATCTACCTCTTACTCTAACTGTAGCTACAACTAAATAATGATCCGATATATCAGTTGCCCCTCTATAAACATGTACATCCTGGAGCCTACCCATCAACCTTTTATCCACCAATACATAATCTAATAAACTACTTTCATTACGTGCTACATCATACCTTGTATATTTA